GTGCTTTTGATGGTCAATAGCTGAGAACTGCACTGGTGAGGCATCAGAAAGAACAGGATTCATTTCACTGTGTCTTAGTCATGCTGGCTTCATAAAGTTACTGGGAAGAGGCAGCAGATTAATTTCTCTCCAACTTAAATTACTGGAGTAAGTATGTGTATAGAGAAAGCCAGATGAGTGAAGGGCCTATTTTAAGGCACTCAGCTCACAGATGCACTAAAATTACATCTGGTCTGTAAAAGCTAGAGGAAGGGACAGGTTTTCTAGTTCTTGTTCAGTTCTTTTATTTTCATAAATGCAAGTACTATTGCAAAACAGTAAAGGGGAGGGGCAGATAGAGGGGGACACTAATCTTTCCACTTATCAAAACTTGCTGCATGGAAAAATATGGTCAAACTTTAAGCTAAGATGTGTTCAAATATTTTCCAAGTAATTTTCCTGTAAAGAGTATCTCTGCCTCTATGCCAAATTTTTATGCAGAGTTCAATGTGGTTTTTCAAGGTAAGAGAGGATAAAAATCACAGCCTTAACTTTTTTAATATATCTATTTTAGTTCTTCGTATCAGCTTATGACAGTATTACAAAGGAAAACTTCACTTATTCTGGTTTCATTTATTTTCCTTAGTATGTGGTAATCTATTCCTCTCAAATTTTCAGGTTCAATAATTACAAGAAAAGAAGAGCCCAAACTGGTACAGAGCTTCTCCCAAAGCTGCCTTCAAAACAGTGCACAGAAATGCTATAAACATAAACTCCATAAACTCCACCACCTAGAAAGACAAGCAGCCTCTTGCAGAAGTCAATGCTGTCTTCGTTTACCAGCACTTTTCCAGTGGTGGTGCTTACAAAGAAAGCTATTCTTTTCTGTACAGTAGTTCTTCAAAGAATTTACAAACACGGGCCTGGGTGGGCCTCCAGTGCCCTGCTAGTGCTGGGAACATTTTTAAAATTTTTTTTTAAATTTTTTTAAAAATAATCTTTGTAACCTGCATCTCAAAAGAGGGATGAGAAAACTTGGGGCTTTTCTACATCTGACACTTATTCCTGTTAATGCTGCCACACACTGCGCTCCATTACACATCTAATGCTGTACTAGTACCAAGAGAAAAAGAATGAAGGCAGAAGGGAAGCAAAGCTAAAAGTCTGGTGGAAATGAGTTTTCCTCTGTCACAAACCAACAGCTAAAGTTAACTGCTTATTTCACGGGGGGGTGGGGGTGGGTTACACATGGACACTACATAACACAGACAAAACCAAAACAACCCTATTGCTTATAAGCACAACAGGGATATCTACCAGTGTATTTGCCAGCTTAACAAAATACAAGCCAAAACTCTTCCTCTTTCCAGATTACCCCCAACCCAACTGAGATCACAAGAGAACTCCTCCCTTAACCTTGTATCATCTGACTTGTGGTAGAGGCCAGTAACCTCATCCTAAGAGCAGGATCTGCTACGCTAACAATGTGCAAATGCAGAATATAAAGACAGGCCCTGTCTGCAGAATTCACAGCCTAAAAAACTTCTCCAGTCTTCCACAGATGACTGTGAATTTCCTTCTTCATTTTCCAATTCCAAAGACCCTGCCCCAACACCACAAAGACAATTCTGCCAAAACCAAAATATCAGGAAAGTTAGCAAGAAAAACTACCCTGACAACTAAGACACCACAGTGCAGCAGAATAGATCTCCTCACATTAGAAGTGTTTTGATGGTATGTGTCATGCTTTTATGCCACATTGCAAGGGCAGAGATGGAGCCTTGCTTCCAGAACTCTCCAGACATGTTGACAACGTACTGTTGACCTGACTTCATTTCAAGCCAATCTAGTATCATGCAAATCACAAGTCTTCAACCATGTAACATTTTGGAATTCATCTTCCACTACTTCTGTGACGTCTTCACAACTGCCTGAGAGCACAAATTGGGGTTTTGAGTACAAAAATGAATGAGACAAGACTTGAGAAGTGCATTACAGGGTCAGCAGACCCCACTACTCAGTGACAGAGCAATCCACTTCATTAGCAGAATTGATATGTCCTGGTTGCTACACAGAATCCTGGTACATTGTTACTGGAAGAGCCTCATTGTTCCTCTATGTCTCCCAAAAGCAGTATTTTGTCCTTTCTGTGGAGTATTCAGAGTTTCATGCTATGGCCCCAGCTCCCATAGTAATTATGTTTCCTGGTATAATACCTCAGGATACTTTCCACCTCCCAAAGCCATGCTGCAAAATATCTTTTCTAGTCCACATTCCTCTTCTGAGGAAAAGAAGAAGGAAGAGGATCTGCAGACTAGGCAACACATGATATTGTTGATGTGACATGATGATTAGCCTGCTGGCTGGTAGTCTCAGCTGATAGGCCAGCCAAAGAGGGAAAAAAGGCTGAACTCTTCATTCCTTTCCCTTTCACCTCTTTCCAGCATCAACTTTAATAAAAATCTTTTAAAACATAATGCTGAAATCACTGCCCCTCCCATCAAAGCTGACTGACACTGCCCAGTGAGTTAAAGAGATATCAGAGCAGGAGATTAATAGAAAGACACAGACAACAATCTTAAGATTTGACCTCTCAGCAAACAAGACTAACCAAGGTTACCGCCCCATATTATTAGCACCCAAAGAGCTTTCCAGAGAGGCATTCCTTCCAGGGAAAAAAAGAAAATAAATCAGTAACATATAACAAAATAACAGCCACTATCTTTTCTTTTTTCGGATAATTTGATAATTTCTCTGGCTATGAAGTACAGGACAGGGGATGTTCTGCTGCTTGCAAGACGACAAATTTTCACGGTGTTTCCTGCATGTCTGTTTTTGAAGTGGAAGACTAACTGCTCTATTGCTTCTGAAGAGTGGCCAGTGCTGCAATTCAGAACGAGTATCCTCAATGCAATTAGTAACTAGGTCAGACTTTATAACTGAAAATGTGAGCTTAGACTAAGTGAAAGATTTCTTCCAGTCATTTAATAAGAACCTGAAAGCTGGCCCTTTGCCAAAGAACAAGTGTAAAATCAGGCTGCTATCTGACAGACTCTCAGTAAGATGTATCACAAGCTTCTGATGACTGATACCCAGAAGGCTAGGCAGAATGAAAGATACTTTGCTTGCCTTCTAAGAATTTGCCTTCACTTGTTTTAACTATGAGTCATAAATTCTCATTCCCCTCTTCCGTACTAGCAACTCAGTTACCATACTGAGCCTAAATGTGCTGTACAGGAAACAAGAAGGTCTATGAAATAATACTCCATGAATTAAATGTTTATTGCTTGACAGAAACAATACTCCCTAAAAATGTGGTCAACTGGTTCAAAAGAAACAGAAAGCCCTAATCCTTATTTTGACTTGCAAAGTAATTCTATATCCTGTCTGGTCTTGACCAAGGCTTCTCATCATCTCTGCAAAATGGTAAAAATTATTTTATTGGGGCGTTGTGAAGTTTAGAGTTTGTAAAGAATAGAACAAGTAATTACACCCAGCTTCTGTAGAGAGCTTTTGATATTCAGTGTTTGCATTGTATGCCCAGAAAAGAGGCTTTTGATAGTCTCTCTTAGATAGTGCATAGGTACTTACTCATCTGATTTTAGCAAACATGGTTCTGAAGAAGACAAAAGCAAATTTTTAAATATTTTATTAATCAAATTAATAAAATGTAAAAAAACCCCCAGCCAGTGTTATACTCTATAAGTTGGCCTTAAAAGACATTCAAAACAAGGGAGTGACCAAATATTTCTTATTTACAGTTCAGAAAAATATCTTCTGGTGACACAAATGCTCTAAAGGTCTGGAAAGATCACTTACTCCCTGCCATCTGCGTTTGAGAAACCATTTCAAAGTCTGTATGAACTCAGTCACAATAGGATGTAAGAGAGGAGAGAGCAGGTCGCTGTGTAGGGAGGTAGGGGCAAAAAGCAGTTGCTGTTTGCCACACAGGAGCTCTTGTTCAGTATTAAGTGCAGATATTCCAAAACATTTTTTAACTGCAGCTCTTTCTTTTCTCCTTTTCTTTTTTCTTTTCTTTTTTCTTTTTTATGATCTTAATACTACTTTGCACAGTATGTTTATACATTTGCAATAATAAAAGAACATCTTTTAAAGGAATTAATCTGTTTGTAACAAACAAGCATTTGTGAAGGTGTCATTAGTGCCTCTCCAGATCTGTAATCAAATTTGAGCATCTCTTTCTAACAGTATTTGACTAGTTTGTATTGCTCTGTGTAGAGGGTACTCCATTTTGGTTACTGATGTTAACTATTATCAGTTATCTATCACAGGTGTCAGTGCACAGCTTTCATGGATTCTTCTGCTCTGTGTTAGCAGTCATCTGCAGTGTATGAAACTGGAATATAACTGATTCATTTCATCCTTTTAGCATCAGGAGTATCTACAGTAATCATACTAGTTAAAAGTCTGAAAAAATTAAACAGGAAAATCTGTAACAGAAAGAGACAGAGACTGTTGAGCTGCTGCTGAGCTGACAGGATAGAGAACCTGCAGTACAGAGATGACCATAATTACTGATTTGGGTACGGTGTGGCAAAATCAGCACACTTGGCTTTGCCGTGTGCTTTAGATTCTGTTGTGTATTTCAAACTATTACTTTGTGACTCCCTGGCCTAGAATTTTTTCCCATAAGCCTCTGTGGGGGGTTTTGCTGGTTTTTTAATAGGAAAAAAGCATGAAAATAGAGACTTTTTCCTTTCTGTAACAATAATGCTATGGAGTTACCTCCACTAAAGACTCAACATCACCCGATAACCTCACTGTGACATTTCTATCTTCCTTCCCAGGCAATGTAACAAGAATTTCAGGCGCCAGCGCAGATTCTCATTAAATTTAGTAGAGTTCAGCTGAAAGCAATACCAAGAATAAGCTAGATTCAGTGTGCTAAAGGAAAAAAAAAAAAGGCACCTTGAAGGTATCATTACTCCACAAATACTTCAGATTATTTTCAGATTATTTCAATCTTCTGTTCTGAAAATTCAGATTACATTTATACCAACTGCAAATGTCTCTAGGACTTCTGCTCTCATTCAAGAAAATAAAGATGGATATACTGTCTTCTCATTAGCATCCTGTTTTGTGCCCCATCTCACAGGGAGACCTCTTCCAAAACTTTGCTTGTGTAGTCACCATATATCACCCGGTCACATCATGTCCAGCTGCAAATAGAAGACAGAGATTTGGAAGAAGCAGCACTGAATTAAAGTTATTTATTACATGTGTTTAGCACTTAGAAAACAAAGCAAATTGGGAAATCCTTATCGTGTAACATAAATGGATTGCACAGAACTCAATAATAAGCTGCTATAAAGTACAAAAGCAAACCTAAAAATCTCATCTTCACCTAATCATATATGCAATTTATAGAATTAAAAAAGCACAGTCCAAAAGTAGAAATCTGCCTGTTATTGAAGCTTCTTTAAAACTGTCTACACTATCAGCTTAAGCCTTGGAGACAGATTTGTAATGACTTAGCCTGTAAAAAATGGATAAAATATTTATTAAAAAACCTCTTGAAATCCTTGAATTTCAGCAAGCCTGTATAGAGAAGGTTAATTGAGCAGATTAAAACATCTTTTTTAAAATTATTTTCAGTTTTCAACCCACATAAATAGCTGTTCTAGATCTACAAGCTTTGTTAAATGTTATTATAGTAAATTATAACAATCTGCTATCAAATGAGCAGCCTCACTGGCTCTTTTGAAACGCTACAGGACACATTTAACCTATGTAAATACCCATGCTACTACATAACATAGTATTTGCCATCATGAAATTACACACCTGGTTATGTTTTACAATAGCAAATAAGTAATTTCATGTGGCTCTCTTCTGACTCAGTTTCTTAGGTGTTTTCTAAGCCAAGCACTCTAATCTACTGCTTTAAGAAGCATTCACTCTCACTGCACCTTTTAGTTACAGTTTAATTCTAAAGCCACATCATCTCTTTATGGTACTCACCAAATCATCAACATCACCACCTTCATCTGTGGGAGGCAGAGTTTCATTTTTCTTTTCTCTCGGAGCCAAGAACTGAAAACACACATGTATTTATATGATACTGTCAGAACTCAGACCCTTAACATTAAATTAACAGAATGACTCCTTTGTCTATGAAAACAAATCCACCAGTAATTAAAAATTATAAATGAAGTTTGTTCTGGTTTCCACCCTCCAAAACCATTATAAAGTACAGGAAATTTCCTAAGACTTGCTTTTAAAAGATTTTATGGTGAAGCGTGTTGAATAACAGACAAAAGGATATGGTTCTTCAGACAACATACGGTTAAGCTGTAGAACACCCTGTAATAAGGATGCTGCAGATACTAGTTCCTAGTCTCATGAGGAAGTGGGGAAAGTTCTACTAAGTCCACAGAAACAACCTCAAGCACAGGAAGTACTTGAGACATCAGTGGCTGGAGCCTGGGACTGTACACTTTTCCCTACCCATCTGTTATTGTCCACTGTCAATCATGGGATTCTGGGCTAGATGGAAATTTTGTCCATTACAGTATGGCCATGTTTATGTTCTTAAAAAAGACAATTTTAAAAGTAATATTGTGCGTAGCTACAAAATGCTAGAGGACAGCAAACTGCCCCCCCATCAACATGAATACATACATAAGCTGACCAATGGCTTGTTTAACAAATTTAAGTACAACATTCTAGTTTTGTGTGGAACTTTGAAGTTTCCCATTTAATTCAATTAACATTTAACAAATGAACAAAGACATGAATTTTAAAAAAAACCTTGAACACACAAGATGGTTAGAATGCCAGTCTTTAAAAATAGAAAATTCATTATGTAAAATTCTATTGCCATATAGCTGCTGATACAACTCACCATATGCCCTTCAATTAAAGCATGGCATCCATAAACAGAAGATAAAGGTAAGTTGCTCAGATACTATAACAACTGAGATTAAACATACAGACAATATCTGGAGTACAACTGCTTCTGAATTATTTTTCTCTTAGCCTAACATAGTGAAAAAAATAATAATTTAGCTAGACTGGCAGAAAAAAATACAAATACTTGAAAAGTATCCAGTTGTCTACAAGTTTTAGTTATGGTCTCTTTACTATAAAATCATAAATTTTCATTTTCTTATTAAAATGCACCAGAACAAGTATACAGAGCTGGGAATAGCCCTGCCCCAGATAAAAAGATGTCTGCAAAAGCAGACATGGAAAGTCATTCCATGACTTTCAGTTCCATCATCCTTAATTCAGAAACAACTTTGCTATAACTCTAGATGATGAAAGAGAACAGCTAGTTAGAAAACAACCATATTAAACAGGCTATAATAAATACCTGTTTGGAGTTTAGGTAACTCTTTTGTGCACCCAGCTGGCTCCTGAAAGCAAGCTATTGTTTACCTGAGGACTTCAACTATAACAGCCATGGAGGTTGTGTAAAAAGGTCATGGGATCCCTACCAGAGCACTACCAGTCTCTGAGACAATATACTTGTACTGGAAAAAGCTTAAATATTATTTTACATAAATAAAATGTTCTGATCTTTCTCTAGAGCAATAGTGACAGCTTTAGACAAGGGGTAAAACACTGACAAGTTACCTGCTGCACCCCACTTGTGGGGAAGTAGCAGCTATCATATCCCCTAGGATGAAAAGCAAATACATTGCTTTTGGTTAACACCAAAGACAGAGGAAGTAGACAACCTCTGCCTAATTGTCTCACTACCCAAAGGTCAGACCTTTCCTACATCCTAAACAGCAACATTCAAGAGGAATGTAGAAAGCTTACTCCACAGACAACACTCATGTTTTAACATGCTGACTTCAACTTATCATATAGACTTTGTAGCTGTAAAAAAAAAAGAAGGTGACAGCGCCCGAAGGAATTGGAATTTCAAGATGCCATATGTCTGTGTATCTTTTTTGCTGGAAAAGTTCTCAATCTAGTAGTAATATAAAGCACATACTATGAAACTGAAAGCTAATGTCAGGTCTGAAAGGCTTTTTGTGCCAGATCAAATTTCATTTTACACAATTAAGAATGAAATGGTATTTCTGAAAGTAGCACATTTTTCAAAGTTTTCAAAATTAGCTTTCCCACACTAAATTAGGTAAAGAAAGCTAAAAGCTAAAGAAATGTATGATGAAGACTTGCAATAAATTGAAACCTGAAGTTTCCATCAAATGCTGAATATCCAAAGTTGGGTTTTTTTCCAAAACCTGTTTTACATTTATGCAAAAGCAAATTACATATAATAGTTGTGCTGAAATCCATTATCTTCCCCCAAAGCAACCAGAAAAAGCACTTGACATTTCTGCTCTTTTAACCTATCATCCTAACACTCTAAAAAGAGTACCTCCACTATTACAGAACCCCCTCCCTTACCTAAAATAATTTTTCTCAGTGATAGGGAAATACGCATGGATAAGCTAGCTCAACCAAAAAGAAAAAGAAATTTTTTACATGTTACCTCTCTAATAAGCGTCCTTGTAAGTCTTCGTTTCTCCTTCAAACAGTAACCCTATAAACCTGAAATCTTATATCCAAAACAGTCCTGAAACTGCTACCAGCTAGCGATCTGCACATAAGAGAAAAGGCTTCTGTGTCACACAGGATCACACTGACAGCCAGTGCCTTGACCCACATGCTTGCATGTGACCTATTACAGAGGTGAAGAACACTTGCGATCTTTCTCCATTGTGTGATATTTTAAAAGATCCAATATAACCCTTTAGTGAAGGGTATCACCTTCAGTATAGAAAACAAATCAACTATTTTTGCAATCTACTATAGACCTAGGAAAATGCTGGCTTTGTATCACACGGGAAACCTGTGGCCGGGTTTAACTGGACCAACAAGGACTAGATTTTATATCAGCCCCATAACCTCAAGATAAAATTTTCTATCCCTGCAGATCTTGCACCAAGAATACGCAGTCTTCCAGTTTCTTAATTAAAAAGTCATATAAACTCTTCACAGACGATGGCAAATCACGGTTCTGGTTTTGGATCTGGAGAGTGTGTGGGGAGGTGGTTATCTAGTGACTAACTGGGATTGCCAACTGCCTGGTTAGCAGAGAGATGCAACCCATTTATTCTTAAAGTCAAGATAACTGCCATGTTAGAGAACTCTGTTGCAGAGCTGATTTCATGCAATCTCTCTTATTCCCCTATTTTAAAGGGAAGTTTTGGCTGTTGTAGGATGTCCTGGTTTCGGCTGGGATAGAGTTAATTTTCTTCCTAGTAGCATGCATAGTGCTGTGTTTTGGAGTTAGTAGGAGAAGAATGCTGATAACACACTGATGGTTTAGTTGTTGCTATGTACTGCTTATGCTAGTCAAGGACTTTTCAGCTTCCCATGCTCTGCCAGGTGCATAAGAAACTAGGAGGGGGCACAGCCAGAATAGTTGATCCAAACTGACCAAAGGGCTATTCCATACCATGTGACATCATGCTCAGTATAGAAACTGGGGGCTGGGGCTAAACCACTACATAGGACCTTCAATCAATCACAAAAGAATTTCCTGTATTGCAACACCTGGCTGACGGTAGGATGATGTTAAACAGAAAAGTAATTTTGAAGTCAGTCTACAAATGCTTTGCTCTAGCTTTGCCTGGCAGCTGTAAATCTAGTCCTTGCTACTCTATAATTTGTACTGCATTCCTATGCAGGCACAGTATTTTTTAGCCACCACAATCTCACAGTTAAGACAACAGTATGCTGTAAGGTCTTCATGGCTAGTAGAGATTTCCATAAGGAATAGCAGCTATTTCACACAGCATTAGCACATTTTGAGCATCAATGGTAATTTCAGACTAGAAAGTGAAGAAACATATTGTCTTAGGAAGTTTCCAAATAAATTCATAGCATTTGGAATATGTAACAAAAACTGATACTCTTTAAAACCACCACTGGGGAAAGAAGTTGCTCTATACAATTATGTGTGATAAGAAACAGCCAGTAGGTCCTTCACGTCTAGAAAAACATCATATTCTGTCATTTGTACTCTGCACATATGTTTAGTTTTCTGAACTCTTAGTTTGTTAGCTTTTCATTTTCATGACATTTCTGTGCCTCCTTCACCTTAAGGTAAATTGTTACAGATGAAAAAAGCAGTTTCTAAAATACAGCCTTTTACCCACTCATTAATTCACTCACAGAGAACCTACTTCCACCCCCTTCTGGTTATTGCTAATGTAAGGCCTGCAAGTTGAAAAAAATCAATATGGCATCTTTTAGAAAAGCTGCTTCTCTGCAAAGTACTTAGTGATTTTAGCCACAGGTTTACCTTCAGGGGGCTGTAATACAAGGACCTTCTTTCTTCTAAACTATTTAAAATCATGGCTAGCAGCCTGATACAAGAATGCCTGTCTTATCCTCTCCACACAAATACAATTTTTGACAGGAACTCTGAATTCTGCTTTCTTTCAAACAGAAGGCACCATTCTGCCTGTTAGAATTCACTTCTTTGTGACTTCCTTCATTCATCACTGCAGCTACTGACGTGGTGTATTTCTGTAGAAAGAATACCTGCAAATACTCCAAAACTTTTGTTTCCAAAAGGACCTAATATGATCACCAATAATAATACCAGCATCATCTACGATGGCCATCAATCCACAAGAGATGCATAAAGTGGAAAATACTGATATCGTTGCATATATGGTGAAAACTAGCCATAACAACTTTATATTGCTAGAGTTCACAATACCTTTAGACAAACAAGTATCCTGATTTTTGAACTCATGTGATAACAATGAAATCACAGTTCTTTCTATGAAGTTCAAACAGTGATCTTGCATATATAAATAGTCTACTGCTGTTCCAGTAAACTGAGTTCCTGAATCTCCTGTTTTTTGTAGAGGATATTTTCAGATAATGATGTCAATATATGCTACATTCTAAAGACCAATTAAAGCAAATGCTGTGGTACATGCTAGAGAATCACTTTACTCTGACCTGGGGTAATTTTAATTGTGTGGCAAAAGGACATTCTTCTTCCTTCATATGAATCCTATTTCATTCATCTAAAGATTTATCCATATAAGAAAGAATCTTCTGTTCCACAGCATGGGCTCTATACAAATAGATGCTCATTAAAAAAAGATACCTTTTCAGCCTCTTCACGTGTCACCGAACTTCCCTCTGCTTCATCTTTAGTGATCAAAGAAATTCTGTCTAAAAAAAATAAGAGATATAAAAATACCATTAGAAGGCTTCCCAAAAATGCACTTAACGTTAGAAATCAAAAAAGTCTTCCAACTTCTGAATGTGTAATCATCACCATCAAAAATAAAAAAATATTGCTCAAAGGAAAGTGTGACTTGCACAAATGAGTCACAGAATCATAGAATTGTTTAGGTTGGAAGAGACCTTTAAGATCATCAAGTCCAACCATTAACCTAGCACTGCCAAGTCCACCACTAAGCCATATCACTAAGCAGCACATCTATACAGCTTTTAAATATCTTCAGGGATGGTGACTCAACCACTTCCCTGGGCAGCCTGTTCCAATGCTTGACAACCCTTTCTGTGAAGAAATTTTTCCTAATATCCAATCTAAACCTCCCCTGGCACAACTTGCAGCCATTTCCTCTCATCTTATTGCTTGTTACTTGGCAGAAGAGACCAACACCCACATCGCTACAACCTCCTTTCAGGTAGTTGTAGAGAGCGATAAGGTCTCCCCTCAGCCTCCTCTTCTCCAGACTAAACAACCCCAGTTCCCTCAGCCGCTCCTCATAAGGCCTGTGCTCCAGACCCTTCACCAGCTTCATTGCCCTTCTCTGGACACGCTCCAGCACCTCAATGTATTTCTTGCAGTGAGGGGCCCAAAACTGGACATAGTATTCCAGGTGCGGCCTCACCAGCGCCGAGTACAGGGAGACAATCACTTCCCTAGTTCTGCTGGCCACACTATTCCTGATACAAGCCAGGATGCTGTTGGCCTTCTTGGCCACCTGGGCACACTGCTGGCTCATATGCATCTAGCTATCGACCAACATCCCCAGGTCCTTTTCCGCTGGGCAGCTTTCCAGCTGCTCTTCCCCAAGTCTGTAGCATTGCATGAGGTTGTTGTGAGTCAACTATGATATAAAAATAAATTAATGAGCATATTCATAAGCTTGTGGAAGTACCCATTTAGGAAACTGCTAATATTGTGACAATCAAACTAATGAGACACTGAAATCACAGATCACAGATGAAATGCTGAAAATCTATCAGAAATTACACTTTTAGTCATTCACAGCATGCTCTTCAGTCCTTAATAGCCTTAGAAAAATTAACTCCTAACATACAAACACTTATGCTGTGATTACCTACAGTCTGACTGCTAAAGTGCTGGTCCTGCCCCTACTTTGCTCCTTTGGTGCGCCAGCACCACCATCCTGTGCAGTGACCCCCGGGGGGGAAAAAAAAAAATCTCAATTATTTTTTTCCCACTGGGAAAACTATTTCCCAGTCTAGCTCATCACTTGGCTATATGAATGCTTGTGCCTGAATAAAGAAGCTGTGGGTGTAAGAGCAAAGAACAGTAGATTCATAAAGGTTTCAGCAGCAGCACAATTGTAATGCCACCTTAATGTGCCCATAGAACTACATGGCAGGGTTTCACGAGACAAGTGAACTTGTCAAACAGATCTGCCTTGCTCCTGAGCCACTAACTCATTAACTCATATCCATCCTCTTTTGGTGATTGCAGTCGCTCATGACAAGGCCCAATGCATGCCACATTTGGTAGAAAAGAGGGGATGGATCACGTGGCAAGCAGCAGGCAAAACAGGACTTCTGCTTTTGGTAGCAGCAAACGAAAAGCAGGTTCAGCTACCTAGTGCGAGCAGCTAGATTATGCATAAAGCACCTTGATTTCATCATCTTCTCACAAGAAGATAATCTGTTTTGTTTGAAAATATCATCTCTGTAATTTTTTTTTCCTCAAAAACATACTCTAGTTTATTAAAAACTCTGGTTTGTACCAGCTAAGAAGTATTAAAACAGCATTCTAGCATGGTTCTGGAAGATCCAAGTTTCCCACCTTTTGAAGTCTGTTGGGTTTTTGGTTTGGTTTTTTGTTGGTTTTCTTCTTGTTTTTTTAAATTTCTTCAGAGAAGGTCCCCTACAATACTACTGAATATAATATTCTTTCAGTGTTGTCTTGTGCTATTGTTTTGAGTTGCTAAACAAATTTCCATCTTATGTTTTGAACAAACTGGATGAACCAGGCATTACATAGCGTCTGGAGTTCATCACTTTGAAAGGCACTATACAAAAGCGTATCATTGCATTTTATACCATGCACCCTTAAGAGATACAGCTGAGCATTTAACAGATTTTCTTAGCACTGGTTCCAATTAAAAACAAGAGTATGACGTAAAAGATTTTTTTAGTCCACCATGTTTCGTATTTGTGAAAATGTTCCTTTATTTATCACTTGCGTAGTCTCTGAATGTCTTTTAGAATTGCACTGCCGTGTATCTTGCAGTTTAATCATAGGTAGGTGTCATATTACCACATATTCTGTCCTTCAGGTTGCTTAAACACAAATGATCAGTGACATATTTCAATGCTATCTATGCCTTTTTGAAGCTTAATTTGGAAGAATCTTTTTATATCTCTGCTGCATGAGTTTTTTCCATTTATTTTGAAATTCAGCTGAAATTGTATCTTCTTCTCCTTATCCTGTAACATTTAATTTGTCTCTCTTCTTCCACAGTTAATTTATCATTTCAACAAGACTTGGCAAGGCATTATGGATATTGCTGATATGAAACTATTAGTGCAAAAAAGGAAGTTGTAATGTGAAAGATTTTTTTAATTTTTTTTTTAAACAGGCTGCAGGAATGAACCATATCAAAATGCTGCTCTGGAGTTAAAGTGTCCCATTGCTAACAAAGTTTTCTCTTACATAATAATTAATACAACTAGAAATACTTTTTTAATTTTTTTTAATGCCATCCTACCTTGTATCATGATCTCCCAGAAATCAGTGAGGGCTTTATCTTCCACCTTTGATTTAAGGGCCTGCAGAAAATCATTAAAGCACGGCACCTTGGACAGCTGAAAAAAATAACAGCAATGATAACAGAGAAATATTAAATTAGCTTATTAAAGAGCACTGCAAACTTAGTTCCTCATTAATTCATCTAACATGGCGAACACAAAAGTCAGTACAGATTTGGGGTTTTATCTCTACTAAAACCAAGAGTTCTAAGGAAAGGTGAGCCATAAAAACTGCCTTTCAGAAAGCTAGTAAGACTGTCTTATAACCAGCTTTATTTAAGAAATTTGTAGGATTCCTTATTTTTCTTTTACAAGCATCAGGTCACAGGCCTTGTGTTTTTATGTTTAAAAGAAAACAAACAACAGCAAATAATACCAGAGAAGCTAGTCCCCATTCCAGTAAGAATAAAGAAACATAAAATGCAAATATATTTTTAAACTTTCAAACAGCATAACAGATTTTAATCTACAAATCAATTCTTTTTGCTGTAGCAATAAATTATCCAGTTTCTAATACAGTAAATAGGCCCATCATGTCTTTAATTTGAAAGAGATGAGTTTTCTCGCATTAACATTACCTTCATGGCCTCCTCTCTGAAAACTCTGATGCAATTGATCCCTTTCATGTAGTACTGTGAACCTTTATTTTCCAGGAACTGCTCTATGCGGTTTATCAACTGCTGACTCACTGAAAGAAAAGGAGAAATAAATAAATCAAAGGATGCACAATTTCAAGGCCAAAAAAATTTTTTTCCTTTACGTCCCTTTTTCTGTTCCACAGGCCTCGAAAGAGTTAATCATACCCATACCACCTTAAACTACTCAAGTTGATAATTGTTATCTAAGCTACTGTCAATTACTTCAGCCTCTGTGGAAAAGCTAGATAAACTAGGAAGAAACCCAAGCATGGCCAAGGCAAAAGTTTTTCCCTGAAAGCCAAGGAAAAAAGCACTGGCCTAGCTTGTTTGATACAAAGTAAAACCAGAACATTTGGGATCCTAAAGCTGAGGGAAGTTACGTTCTACAACACAAAACACATCCCCTAAACATCCTTTGGAATACATGCATATTTCAATAAAAGTGTTAAATTTACAATGAACGTGTAATAACGTCAAAACAACAGCTGTAAGGTGATTAGAGTTAAAAGACTACCTTGTTGTTACTGACATTACAGTATATCTTGTCTCTGTGCAGATAGGTTGATGAATTTTCGTAGGGGCAATGCTGTTTATGATTATGGAGATACATATTATAAACTGTGCATGCCTGACAGAGAGAAGCAGAGGCAAACAACGAGACTTGTACCAACAAGGAGAACAGCAGTTTCATCCTCACTGTTGAGCTCCTAAAAAGTATGCAGCTGTAAACCACTGCAAACATGACAAGTGAAAACGTCACCAAGCCAAACTAAATTCTGCTAGATTTTAGTACTTAATTTTCTTCATGTTTAATTACAGGTGAGGAACTGTCCAATCTTTACCCTCTGCAGACACCTCAGCCTGGGAGAAGTGTGAAGAGCATACAACAGTGATCTATAAACTCAGAAGCACTGTAAAAAGGATGAATAGGCAGTGATAGTCCACTGCCTCTCTCAAAACAAGAGCAGAGTTAGGTTAAGAACAAATGAAAAAGACGTACCTCTTCAAACAAAACCAGTTAACCTCTTTACCACAGGCTGCTGTGGGATGCTAGAAGTTTTAATAGCTTAAAAAAAAAAAATGCTTGAACAAATTCCTAGAATTCTTAAAAGAGGAAATCTATCAAGGGAGATTAAAGATCATGTTGCCATTGAGGAAGGAAATGCAGGAAAGCATTCTGGACAAGTCACAGCATCTGCCTGTCCTGTTCTTGTACTGTTAAAGACAGGTTACCCAACTAGCAGAGCCTTTAGTCTGAGCTATGAACCTTCTTATGTTCAGATGTTATGGGCATAGGTGTCACTGCAACTACTTCAGCCATGGAAACATCAACATAGAAAATCATCTGCCAGAGTGATGGAAGAGACAAGGATAAATAAACATACCAAGAAGCAGACATTGCTTAAATCCTGTATTCCACTCTGCTCACTGTAAGCATACACAGTACTTGCTGTTAATATTTATGTTCTATAAAATGCTTAACTGAACTGAATCTGAAGGACAGCATCTCTGAAAAGAGTGAAACAAGACATGTTTGATACTTTCCCACTAGCTTTTGACTCTATGGAGTTTCTAGAAAAGGGGGCGGATAATGGTTCTGTCCAACAACAGCTATCACACAAGAGAGTGTGCTGAAGTCCCGACTGCTCCAGAGGTGATCAGCTCACTCTATTTATTTATTTTACCAGTAGCTGACAACTAAATTGAAGTCTCACTACTTAAGCTCCCCAAGTTAAGCCAGTCCATTTTTTTCATGGTTAACGATTTTCTCATTAAGTGTTCTAATTTCTTACGAATTGCACTAATAAAAGCAAGTCCTGCTGGTGTTTTCAGTGGTGGTGGTGGGTTTTTTTAAATGCTGCCTTTTCATTGATGTGTTAAATTAAAACCCCAGGCACTATGAGGGTGCAATAAAAGTCTTTATTGTCAGTACGATTCCATCATACTGTTTGAAATTATCAGACACTCTACTTCTTTTTCATTTAATTTTTTCAAAATCCCTTTCCATTTGATTGCCTGGCAGACATCAGAAGAAAAGACTTTTTCTTGCTACTGACTGTGAGCTGCCTCCTTTTGAAATCTGTTGCAAGGAACCAAAAAACCCCTGCAATGTTTTACTAGGCACTGAAAGACCATAATATATGCAAGAAGCAGCTTACATGGCAACAATATTTTAAGTCAGATTCTTCTAATATCTTGAAACAGCTTGGCTAAAATTGGGTCTGTCCATTGGGTTTCCCTTAAATGACAGGCCAATGACTGATGAATCTAAAATAGATAAAATTCCTGCGTTCTGATTAGACTATCAAATTACTTCAGGGGGCCAAAGACAATACCAGAGATGGCAGATAAGGATTATAACTGGAAGTTCTCCAAAGTGGATTCTGTTCCTTTACACTTCTAGGTCTGAGAATTCCTTCTTCCCTTCCCATCATCTGCTCTTCCATTAGTGTGAAGCTTTGGTTTTTGGGTGCTGCAAAAAGTAGATTCCTCTACTTCTGCAAACAGGCATGTTGTGCATAAAGATCCAGTTCTATCTAACTCATCTGTGAACATTAGCGTTAACTCTGATGTGTCCCAGACAAATCCCAGGCACTGGGGTTTTGTAGTGCAGATCCTAGAGTTACAAACTGACAGCCTATTTAAGTGACTACTGTGTAATAACAATCTTTCTCTTCTGTCCCAACCCCCTTCATTCCCTTACAGATTTAAATAAAATGAACTAATGAGCTTCTACATTTTGCATAAACTAGAATTCCAGCACTGCTAATAACCAACATGTTCTGCGGATCATCCCAAGAAATTTTAATCTCCTGCTTCCTCCTTCTCCTGTACCTGATTGGTTAGATAACAAATACAGTTACTAAAGGCTGGAGAACTAAAGGTTTAAAAAAAAAAAAAAAAAATCTTTGAATAGAAGATCTTTCAGTTCTAACAGAATTTAATCCCTTCCCCACTGGCATTCAGACCCATTCTCTACTCTAAAATACATTCACCAGTGCTGTTATTTCTTGTGAAGTATGTCATGAACAATTATATTCACTTGCTATCTCTGAATATTTCCAGTACAAAAGCATAGTTATATTTTCATGTTTGTTCAGCTCAGTCCTTGGTCTTGATTACTATGCCAACCAGATTACAGAATAATAATAGATAAAACAGTCCAAGTTCAATTCCTTGGGGATTTTTTTCCCCCCCTAAAAAAAATTAATCAGGTTAAAAAATAGTTATTTCTGTAGACGAAAGACTCCTGTTGTTACCAATCTTTTGATTTCTCCACTGGTGCTGGTAATGATTTGTGTTAGTGAACAGTGCTTAAAGTAAGAGTCACTGACAAATCACTTAAGCCACCTGATAATTAATTTTAAACTGCTGCTCTGTAAGTATCATCTTTTTGTAACTGAAAAGAAGAAAGATATTCTAAACTGGAAACTGTCCTAATTTTTAAGGACTTCCTTCATCTTTAAGGGAAGAAATAAGAATTTTAAGATCAAGAGCTGTTGAATTACTCCATTGTCCTGTGAGGTCCTGTTCAGTTTTCAAATGGTCTCTTTAAATGGCCTGTGGGTATGGATCAGAATGATTTAGGCTGGATGTCTGAAGGAAATATGGTCCAAACCCCTGCTTCAAAGCAGGGTCGCTGTGGATCAGGAGGCTCAGTGCTCCACAGACTTGAGTTCCAAGTAGCTCCAAAGATGGAGAGTCTCCAAGTTCTCTGGGCCCCTCTTTCCATGTTTGACTACCATCATTGTGATTTTTATATTTTTTTCCCCCTTAACATCTAATCCAAATTCTGTTTGTTGCAACTCAGAGCTTTGCGTCTCACCCAATCACTATGCCCTTCAAAGACGAATCTGGCTTCATCTTCTCTGTGAAGCAGATGTACAGAAAACTTCAAAGTGATTTTATATACTCAAGTATTTGGTTTGCAAATACTCTTCTAATGACTGAATCATTTTCATCAAACCAGTCATTGCATTTGGCCTACCTAGCAGTAGAGCATGAATAGTCTCTGAAATACACAAAAATATCCAGTAAGATAAAAATGCAGATGAACTGCAAAGACATATGCCAACAAAAAGTGAAAGTAAATATCTTTGTTTTTTTAAAATTATCTTAGGTCTAGAAAGGTAGTTAACTACACATTTCTACAGAAAATCTTGCAATAAAATATCACCCTTGTTGCAACTGTCTAATAAATTCCCATTGCAAATCTCTTGTACACAATTCTTTTATGCATATGAAGCATCCAGTACAAAAACAGTGTTTTACATTTTACTTAAGCTGTCTACATGCCACGGCAAAAGTGTGACACCTCAGGCACAACAGAATATTTGCTGAAACCTACATGTGCAACTACTCTTTTAACTTTATTTTTCTAGAAATGCCTAGGAATAAAAATATTATCAAAAACTTGCTATAAATACAAAAATGAGTATTTGGTACAATTTGTCTCTGGACTTTTTTTTATGTCCATAAACTGTACAGTTGTCATTGCAGATTTCTCTTTCCACTGACAATCAGTAAAATAAAAAAAGCTCTCAACTACAGAACCTCAGACATCATGTTCAGATAGGAGTCCTGTAACATGCAATGGAATCTGGCCTACAAACTTGCACAGAAAATTTACAAACCAAAGAAAATACTATACATGTGTCAGTATCTTTTTTACCCCCCATTAAGCCATCCTGTCTTCTACAGAAGCCTATGAAAATACAACACCCCATATCAGACACCTTCTGCTTTCAAGAAATACAGCATGAATGGAAACCTGTAAATAGTTGAACAGGATGAACTGGTAGTCATGTGGCTACTCCTTTGGCGTTATAAAGATGGCAAGCACTCACTGCATTTGAGAATCTTCTCTGCAGCCACAGCAATGAAGAAACTCATTGTACACCCTTGGGAGTAACGATAACATTCCACTCAGGCAAATTAATCTATTTTATTTGCATTCATTGACAAAAATGTCAGAAGCTGTTATCAGAAGACTGCTCTTTGTGAGACTGTGCACTTGTAACCTGCTCAAAATGAGACCTGCATAAAATGACATCTTTCTGGCCATGAATGCAGACAAGAAAGTAAAGATATCTGGAGGGGAAACACAATACTTGTTACGTGAGCAATCAGCATTAACCAGTAAATTGGCAACATCACACACAACTCATCATGTAAGCCATAAACTACACAGATGTCCATAAAAAAGAAGTTGGTTACTGTTTCAGGAATTGAGCTGCCAGTCTCCAAAAACCTATCCCTAACACCCTTGTCAATTTGAAACTCTTAGATTATCTAAAAAAATGTATTTACACGTTAGTGACGTAGCTCCCAGTAACAGCGAATGCATTGTTTCTCCTGCTCTGGTCTGCCATGGGTCACAGCACTAGCCACAGGCTGCCTAACTTACACTTAGGCTTCTCCTATGAATGGCACAAACCCTCAGCACCAAAATCCCAGTGAGGCCACTGCAGGAGACACATTGGTACTCATTTTTCATGATAAATATACCATCAGCACTTCCTACAAGCTGTTAAAAAAAAAAAAAAAATCCCCTTGCCATACTTTGGTCTTGGTAACTATAATTTTGGTGAGAGACTTGCTGTTGACAGAAGAGGATGTGTACCATTAACCTGCAGCTTAATTAAAAAGCCACTGTACTGTCAGTATTTAAACTACCACACTTGCTATTTCTACAACTTCTCCATCTACCAAAAAAACCCACCCCCAATCAAACAGTTGAAAGGCCTTTCTCCTCCCTATGGAGGGACTCTTGCTATTTTGTTTTAAAATGCGAATGTAGGCTCTGTTCAGTTTGAAAGACTACACTGGATGCTCTTTCTATACAAGAAAGAAGCAAAACAGGATGTAACCTAGTAGTTCTCCTGTCTGCATCCTGACACATAAAATGTAAATTTTTTTTCCAATAAACTATTTGAATGCCACAGATTATCCTGTCCTGCAAGGACATTTTTTACATCATATGTGCTAGCAGAGGAAAAAAAAAGTTTCATCATTAAATAGGATATAAAATTATACTAAAAAAACCCTTAGAACCACTGAATAGTTTTAAGGCAGAATTTACTATTTACATAACCAGAATGCAATACAGCAAGCCATTAAAAACATGCCTGTAATGTTTTATGTATTAAGCTACCTAAAAGGCTCTAAAGCAGAAAAAGGGTTATGCAGAAGAAAAAAAAATATGCAAAGCATGTTTTTATTTATAGTGGCTTCTATCTCTCCTTTAAATGGGTGACTGCACTACATTCTGTCTAACTACACCTTATAATTACAGAGCAGATCACACATAAAATAAAAGCAGATTGCTCAAAATTTCAGAAGCCATCCAAACATGTACTGCAGTTATCTCCAGCACAGCTACCAAGTGCACGTATTTAAGCACTCTTTAGTTAAACCATCTTCAAGGGTAATCACTGTACTTTCTTCTGCCTTAAAGCCTTCCTACATGATAAAATTAATTACCGTAACAAAGTAGTCAACTGTTTCACAGTTTCTGCATTCTAATATATTGTACAATGCTTTTCTATTGCATCTTAATATATCTGAGAGTTGAGAACACAATTCCAAATATTTTTTCAATAAACAAATTCTTCTCGATCTAATGCAAAATCCATGTAAAAAGCTAGCTAGCTGGCTTATAGGTCTGGAAATTCTGGAGATAAATCGCTATGTAGGCTTTAACAGACTGTATCACAAATTAATATACTACCTAACACACTCCGCAAAGTATGCCCAAAAGGACCAAAGGCCTTATTGAAATACCCAGCACCTCACTTCAGCACCGCCGCAAATTTTTTTTCTTTAAAAAGAAATGCCACATTAGTAAGTGGCTATTGGGCAGGTGAGGTTTATCTTGCCACAACATTCAAATCATCTTTTAAAAGGAAAAAGAACCCCATCTATCTTCTGCATTTTTTTTAAGAGACCTTTGGATTATATATATATATCTGTATAGCTATTCCAGCAGGTAAGTGCCATACAAACAAATGGTCATTTCTTTGCATTTTCAGACTTAGAGCATGCAAGACAGTGGCTGACCTGTGCTTTGTATTCTTCCTTGCCTCTGCATCAAAAAGCTGTCTTGCTGTGTGCTGGGAACAGATTTGGTGCACACAAAGCCTGCTCTCATCTTTAAGAGTCACAGACTACCTGCTTATTACACCCTAAATTCACCCGTGCTTTCTTTTGCTCACAACAAGCAGTAAGAAACGACCTTTGCACGTAAAGATTTAAATCCCAGGCATCAGATTCTTATTTCTTCATAGAACAGAGTAAGTAGGCAGCAGAAATAGAGAGAAAGTAGACAGAGAGAAACAGAGGCAGGTTTCTCACACCATGCACAGCCAACAGCCCCCCACTTCCCAGCCAGAAAGATCCCGGGAAGCCAGATGAGAAGCTGATACCCAGTTTGAATGAGGCAGTCAGTCAGTACCAAGGGATCCTCTGTTAGGAACACCTGAGGAGTTGCTCAGATGCCTCAATGTAGCTGTCCAGTGCCGTCTTACACAAACACAGTTATCCGAGACTTTCAAATGGGGTAGGCAAATTTTGACATGGGAGTTATGAGTGACACCTTTCTTTCCTGACTGGCACTGGAAGCTAGGCAGTAAACTCCAGAGCATCTCACATAGCACTAGAAACTTATGTTTAGACAAATGGATTGCATCTACTGAACCCTGAAGATGCTACTAATATAATTAAGACAAATAAAAGCCATTTACCCTCTTTGAAGTCAGCATTTTTCTGCCTCACCAGAATTCGGAAATCTTCTGCTGGGTTAACACTGCCAACCTACAAAAGGTCCAAAAATGATACAAATGTCTGCCAATATCCATCTCTTTCTTCTTGCGAGGCAACAAGAATCTTTAAATTTCTGTTTATTTTGTCAACAGAAGCTCTACAATTCTCTGCATACGGACTCACAAAATCTAAGTCTTACAATGTGTGCTAATGTGCAGTGCTCCTAGCAAAGGTTAGTTATGACATGAGCAAGATGAACTTACACTGACTATGCTGCACTCTCATAAGCCAACCATATTCTCTGGGGTTTAGAGGTCAGAAGCACAGTAATTCAGGCTATCTGCTAGTTCAGCTTTGAGACTTTCTGTAGCACAGACCTCTCACTAATCTTGACAGATGCTTAATGAGGAATGGGAGCTCCCAGGCATGTGGGTACAGAATCATTGGTTTGCCTCTCCAACATGAAGCTCAAAATGAAAAGCTTGCACTCAATTCATCTACCCTTTCTGGCCCAGTCTGACATCTTAAAGCTGAAGCTCTACATGGGCATACAAGTGCAAAAACCTCACAAAGGAACTAAAACCAGGTCAAATATAAATAAACTTACTGAAAAACGGATACAATAACTTTAGAAAAAAAATTATGTTGCTTAACATTTCCTTTCAGGAATCAAAGTTCTCCTAAGTTTATTTGAAAATTTTATGCTTTGCTGCCAAAATAATTCTTCGATCTTTCAATAAGCTTGCTTGGCCTCTTCATGTTTCATTTAAATCTGGCAAGGCCACTTTTCAGGAAAAATGAGAAGTGTATACTAGGAGTAAAAAATATTTAAATCTTTTTAGATTTTAAATCTTTTTAAAGATGTCAATCATGCATTTTAAAACCCAACCTTAAAGGAGAGTTTGAAAACAAATGAAGTTATCTCAATTAAATCACCTTTTTTCCCCGTAATTTGAAAAATCAAATAAAGGAAGGTGCACAGTTATGATAGAGGCGTCATCTACCCATGTACACAATATCTAGAATTAAGTTAGATGTTTAACCTATCAGGAAGATGAAGCCAAATTTGTGATTTAGAACCCCAGCCAATACAGAGAACAGTCTCTAAAATCACAGCAATACCTTTGATTAAATATACAGAGGCAACTTCTACAGTGCAGATGATAGGAAAGAGAACAAGAACAAAATTCAGCCACTGAACCCCAAATTTGAGATTCTGTTTTCTTCAGATCCTAAGGCTTGCCCATTAGAGTTCTAGACACCGGGGGAGAATTTTCTCCTAAAATATCCAAGACCGATGGAAACTTGTGCTAACATACACCTAAGGACAGAGAAAGTTATCTTTACAGTCTCTAGCAGAGAGTCTCAAATCTACAAGCAGACAATATTTCAGTCATGTTTCAGCTAGAAACCATCCTTTTATCAGGAATTCTGTATATTTACTGTAATAGAGAAATTAATCTTCCTCTTTAATAAACAGATTTGTAAAAATATGCTTACAGAGGTGATGTTGCCTTCAGCAAGTTTTATGATGCTAAAACTACCTTCCTCATCTTCAGTTTTCAGTTTCTTAGGGTTGGGTCCATCTTCACTGCTGCAAATGAGAAGGACAAAAATGAATACACTTAAAGTAAACTGTCCTGCCTAAGTAGGGAGTCAGTAAATTAATGAAATATACACTGAACACTGGACCAAACTTCATTATACAACTCTTCCCAAATTAACACTGAACCATGCCTCATTTTTCCCCACAGGCTGCACAAAGCAGACAGCAGAAACAGAGATCAAACTTTACCTTAGCATAAAGCAAAGGCATCGCTTATTGAAGGTGCGAGATTATTCATGCTCATTTCAGGAGCAAATTTACTCATACACATCTTCTCCACCTTTCTAAATACATAACATCTCCAGTCACTTTATTTGGAACCTGTATATTCAGTTAACCTTGATAATTTACAGTATATTATTTACAGTATATTACATGACATTTGGTATTCTCACCAGATCATCTTAACATGATCTGGTGAAACTTAACATTGAAGTAAGAAATTCATTTAGTCTTCAAAAATTACCTGCTAGTTCCTGTATTGGAATTGATAGCTACAACAAATCTGTTTACACACACAGTGGCTTTTGAGTCCAATGACCCATATTCTCCATCAGCACACGAGAGCTTTATAAACTTCCACCTACAGCACTCAAAGCCTGCTAGACAAATCCCAATTAAGTATGTAAGAACTCTTTTAGGACATTTTAAGCTAGATCTTAAAATGCTTTCAAAAGACTATTTGTTATTTTTAAAAAGCTAATTGTGATTTTAGGCTACTTTCTAGCTTTGCCCTCACAGGTAACATATACCAAGGTGTACATTCAAACCAGGAACTTAATTGTAACATGCCAAACTTTAGAGCACATCTTGGCAATACAGAATAAAATCCAGCTAATCAGAAAAGGGGAAGAAAATCAGACACTGTGTTTTGTATCACTTAATGTGACAAGCTACTGACACAGAATTGATTTCAGTCTAAGAATGCCTGAAAGCTACTCAGCGATCTGAATGGCAGTATTTGTGTTCAAGGAATCCCAAAACAAAGAAAGAAGTTTTTCTTAAAAATTCTACTGCTGCAGTGAAAAGAAGAAACTGCTTGACAACATAGGGACAAAGCCAGACATCCTGGACTACATGACACTTTGCATTCTACAAGGTTGGAACTGATTTTAAAAATCGCATTGCACATTACAGAAGCAATCAACTATTAATAGAAAGAACTTGTAGAGTCTTTCTTTTTACTTTCTATAGCACACTCTTCCCCTACTTTACAATCAGTGTCTATCCCACTTTGTTCCAGTAGTCATCTCTGTCCTTTACTTAATTTTGTCACTACTGAAATGAAATCCCTTCTCCTGAGCAACTCCCGTCATCCAACATAACCTTACTTATCACTCTAAGAGAAATGATGACTTTGGTTATGCCTCAGGAGAAGGATAGGATACCTTACTTCATTCTCAACTCTGCTGACTTTCTGGCTGACCTTGAACAAGTTGCTTGATTGTTTTGGACAACCGACATGCCTGTCTGTAAAACAAATGATACTTGTCTAATACCAGTGAGTTTAGAACTTCTACTTGAACCAAAATTCTTGTATATTGACGTGGTTTGGTGAAAGGTGCAAAGAACAACAAAAATTCTCCCTTAGAATATTTCTCTCCAAAGCTGTTTTCCACTCAATTGCAATGTCCTGAAGTATTTTTCCTCCTGCATTATTTTTACTGATTCAAAATGCTTTGGGATTGGAGGGCAGAGGAGAACATAAATGATGATGCTGCATTTAACTGCCTAGAACCAAATCTATAGCTGTCATTAATCAGTGCAGTACAGCAGAAACTAATGAATCCATACCCATTTATACCAGCCAAAGATCTGACATTTAGAATCTGTTACTGGTAATGCACTGATTAGCAGTATTTTTAAACTGTAAAACGTGCAACTACTATTTGAGAAAAATTAACAAAATACAACAGTAATTTAAAACACCCACTTTTACATTTATATAGAAGCCCCTCACATATTGCAAAGCTGGGTGAGGTAACAGCCTCTCCAAAGCCAACCTAAGAAGGAAAAAGTAAAATGCTTTCTATTTTACTGTTTTTTTCAAACTACACAGAGCTTAGCAAAAGTGAAACAAACGAATCCTGAATATTAAGATCTGTATTAAGACATCATGCCTACATGTATGCTGCCTTAATCCCATTAGACCTTAAGCAGAGATGAATCAGGTCAATATAAGAATATGGGACACAAACCAGTTTTAGAAAACAAAAATAATGGTCAAGAGAGGTTCTAGCCAACTTTTTCAAAACACTTTAGTACAAATCATCTAGATCCGATAGTTTTAATAAGTTGAAGGTTATCTGGTGTTTAACATTTTCCTTAGTCATTGTTGCAGAGTGATGTACTTTTCTTTATCAAGTGATTTAATTGTATCACTCAGCTTTTCCCCAAACACAGAACAAAACCAAAGTCAACACTTCTGTTGTACTGACAATACTACTGTTCCCATTAATTACTACAGCAATACCAGGGGTTTTTTCATATTTTTTAATCCTACTACCATTCACCTTCTTTGCATAGTTGAGTCTGTATACTTTTGCCACCCTTAGAGATTTTTTTAATCATTTTAATGCCCTACACCAATTTCTATCTCAATTATTTTTATAGCTGCTTTCATCACTCCTCTAAACGAAACCAGTTTTTGAACAAAATAGCTTTCCTTCTTGCTTGTCAAATTGATGCCTTTGGGGCAATATGTTTTTAAGCAACTACCAGCAATGGGTCACTGTTTTTTGTTTAGATTCTCTCCCTAGCTTGTTTGAACCCAAATTTTGCCTTTTTTTTTTTTTTAAACTGGTTCTATCACTTTTTAATGTACATATAAATGTATTTATATATATACACACACACAGAGAAACTGGGGCACAGAGCAAGGACAAAAGAATTTAATCAGTATGAATTCACAGACACACCAAGGCAAGACAGGCACACACAGCAATGAACAAAATAAAAAGCAAGGTGTTTCCCAGTCTGTATACAGAAATGTGGTCATTATTCCAGAGCAGTAACATGAAAAGTCCTGTGTCATGTCTTCCCAAAGATAACATGCTGAGGACGCTCTAGCCAACCCAGGTAAAGGATATATAACAGCTCAGCTGGGCAAGGTCTCAAAATGGCTCAAAGATGTTGTTCCTAGCGCTGAAAGGACTGACTTAAAAAAAAAAAAAAATCACAAAAGGGAGGGAGAAGGAGCTAACTGAGAACTCTCCACATCCCAGGGAACCCACTAGTTATATTATAGGCATTCAATAAATTAAGCTCAAAGAAGCAGATTTTGTTTGAGCTAATCGATTTGTGGCTGGGGTGACAGTACCAATGCAGCAGCAACTAAGGATTTATCCTTCATATTTGGAGCACAAAAAAAGTAAACACAGTATATGTAGTAAAACCAAAAAAGTTATCTTAAAAACTGTTCAGCCAATAGATGTTCCAGGACGAGTCCATAACAGTTTGATTTTTCAAGACATCCATGTTTATTGCACACTAGATAATAATGAAGCTGCTTTTCTTTTGATGTGGAATTCAAAATGGAAGCTACAGAACAACCTAAATTAAGCATGCTGAGAAGGAATACTCATCTTTACAGCTTATTTAAAGCTCCGCAGCATTTATTCTAAACTAAATTAGACCCTATGTTATTCTTATTTGAACTATTTTATAACTATCAGTAGGTCAAACTGTTTGACCAGGAGACAGTAAGCAATGTAACAGGTTGCCCAGAGAGGATGTGCCGTCTCCATCCCTGGATGCTTTCAAGGCCAGACTGGATGAAGCCCTGAGTTACCTGTTTAGATCTCATAGGTGACCCTGCTTTGAGCAGCTGGTCAAGAAACAAGAAACCTCCTGAGGTCCCTTCCAACCTGATGGATTCTGTGACTCTGTGACAACAAATACAGACAAGAGGAAGCTACAGACTGGTTCCTGGTGTGTCTTGCCCCATAACACTAAGACCACCACTATTCAGAAAATACTCCAGACATACTGTGGTACAATATTCTCCACCCATCAGTATTTTTTCAGTGTGTAACTCATTGATCTTATGTTCAAAAGACTCTGAGCCTGCTTCACCCAGCAAAAACAATTTGAAGTGTAAAAAAAAGTTTCAAAAAAAATCCATAATACCTCTCCAACTTACTTGTCTTTGAAGATGTCTTGAGCAGTCTTCTCTTCTTTTTTCTTGCCAACTTCCTTTAGGGGGAAAAGTGCTTTTATTTTTTCAAGAGGAGCCTGACACCTTTCTTTCACCGCACGGGGCATCTCCAGCACCTCTAAAATATGCTGTTCAATTGGCGGCAACGGCGCATTGGGATGAAAAGCCTTATGCTGCAAACACTGCAAGAAACAAATTGAGCAAAAAACGCTTTTAGTTTATGTGTTTTTAATATAATGCCTGTGTGCCTGACATCATATGGCACATGCAAAATATCCTCCACACTAAAGAAACTACCTGCATATTGCTTACAAATATTCCAGCTCACAGGTGGATTGAAAGTCATATGATCAGCTGTTTAAGGAGATTAATAATGATATTAAACAAGAATACTGATGCAGATGAGTGTTCCCACATTCACTGGAATGAGTTCTATGAAAATTATTAGGAAAATCCCAGGAATGAAGCAGTCATCTGTACCTGCTCAGCTTTTTAACTTCACTTTACCTTTAAAATGCAATTCTATTACAAAACAGTCACACGGGAGAGATTTCTATACATTCCAAAACTAGACAACGAGATATATACCCCAACCACGTATTCCAGCTATTGCCACAGTTTATTGTCCCTCAAAGAAAATATTTCTTCTTGGTCAATAAAACTCAGTATGCATACAAAAGAAATTTCACCAATTTAAGAGCAAATGGAAAGAAAGAAGTTAAATGTGCACAGGTGAGGCACATAATACAGGTATGTTTGCAAATTAGCTTTCAAAAGAGTGAGCGAATGAAGGGGCCTGACATATGTACATCAAAGTTGGAACAGATGGTAGGAGCTACAGTGAAGAAGGTTTTTTCACCAAAGTTTAAAGACAGTGCACACAGTCAGGGAGCCATGCAGAGGGAGAGAGATGAGTTTAATGAGGCAGGCTACAGAAATTCCATTGAGAATTTTAAAAGCAAAGTAGGTCTTTCAAATGTTGTGGAGTGTGGGATAGCAGAAGAGATATATGTGTATTTTCATATATACACACAGATACCAGTGCATGCACACACATACATAAAAACACACGATGTACATGGGAGAATAATTTTTCCAAGCCCACTACTGGGTGAATTAAACACAAGTGTGAAGGTAACTTTCTTCGTAAACTAGGAATACAGCAGAGATTGGCTCCCCTGTTGCCTGTCAGACATGACATTAATTTAAAAAACAAAACCAAAGCAAACAAAAACCACTCTATTCATGCTGAAGAGCTGCCAATAAAGAAAATCCAGACCATATGCTACACATCAATACTGATGTGCTTTCATGCTGCCATTAAGATTCCAATCCCCATATTAGAGCATACTTTCAAAAGGAGGCAGTCATACAAGGCTACTGATTTGGAAACACTTGTAATGATTTAAGGCATAATTATTTTGAAAGAGAGTAAAAATGTTGCTGGAAGCTGCAGTAATAGTTCTTGTGATACAAAAAAAATAATATTAAAACAACATTAGGGGATTGAATTAAACTCACAAAGCAAAAAAACTAAGTCCCCTGTTGTGAATGTGTTTTTCAGGATTTTGCATCTTAAATCTCTATGTGCGCAGCTGCAAGAGCTGAGCAGACCGAGTAGCCACAGTCTCCATTGTTCCTGTTTTTCAGAGTAGATGATGACCTCTGAAACCTGAGATGGCAGGTGCCATCAAAACTCAGGTGCTAAATGGTGATGAAGTTGAACAGACTTAACCTGGAGCTTCTAATCCCAAACAGTCCCTTTTAATCTTGCTTCCTCTTCCTTCTGTGCTCAGCAAGAACCACTCCTGCCTTCACTGGCTAGAAGGCAACCCATGCTGCCACCGGTTTCCAGACTCACCATTCTATTCACACACGTTGTCAGCAACGAGCTCCTCCTTGCTCTTCCTAATTTCCTTACATTTCCAGCCTAGAGATGTAGCCAGCTTTCAGGATCAGGGGTCACACTAAGATACTGGTCAACAGATGTAATGAAGTGGGCTTTTCACATAATTAATTACATGGTAAGCAATTGCATAAATGCACAAATAGACATGAATTTAGTGCAAGAAAGCATCCTGCAGGATCTAGGAACACATTTTTGTAAGAACATTTATTAGCAAATCTATAAATCCTACAGGAACCTAACTATTTAAAGCCTTAGAACATGGGAAACAGATTCAGCTATCTAAAAGATGAGCATCTAGTCTATACTAGTCACCTACTCACTCTACACAACCACAACTATCGTGTGCTTATGATCTCCAAAACAAGAAGGACCAGTTACTTTCTCAAGGTTCATTTTTCATGGATTACGGAATAGGCTTGGACAACTCAGCTTACACTAGTTAGCTAGCTTTTAGGTGGTTAAACATGTGCAAAGTGAATCCCAACACAAGTGCCTTAGAGTTCAGTTTACACCTATTTTGTGACAATTTCAAAATGACCTTCCAACAGATCCATTACATTCAACCAAAGGCAAGATTACTTGTTGCTGAAAGCCCTACAGACTTCTGTGAGCTACCTACTGTCCCCCTGCTGCTCTGCTTTTTTAAAGAACATCACTGTACAGTCCAACCACTTACAAATAAGCTCAGTCCTCTATGGTCACTTACATGTGGTCTAACAAGAGCCCTTACAGCACATTTAGACGTAGACTCTGCAGCTGGATCGCATAGACTATGCAATGCTGCAGGCCACCACCCCCACAAACCTTCCCCCCAGGTCCATCTCAGTACAGAACAATCCTTGTTGAGCAATTTGTTTATTTGGCTATCAAATAAAATACACAGCATTCCCCAAATGTCTTATGTGCTTCAAATCCCTGTATTTAAGAGGAACAACTTAAACAACGATGTTGGAAGTCTACTACCACAAAAGCTATGGAAGTTCACTTGGGCTTTTCTGGAAGCAAGGAATAAAAGTTGAAACTGGATATAGGGTAGTCCTCATCTTCCACCCCAACAAGAATTAGCAACTCCTTTCCACCCACTCTGTCATTTCCTGATACCTACCACTATTTCCAGAGATATAATTTAGCTGGATGTTTCTGTTTAAATTCTGGCTCTTGTCACTTATCATTGTACATACCTTCATGGGACAACAGAGCAAGGAAATGAAGGAGTTGTTCATCTTTTCTTCAGAGTTATTTTTCCAAACCATCTACAGGCCTTGTTCAGCCCAATCAATTTACTGGCTACATTCAAAAGACAATGTTATGATTTTTATTTTAGTTCTTAAGGAACCAGCAGTGCCACTTGGTCTAAGAGCAAAATATTAAGAATTTGGAACATGTTTGCAGGAGAAAGCACTAAAAAGACTGGTAATTTAGGGCTTTATAAACAGCAAACACTGTGGACAGGAACTGTATACTACCTAGGACATTGAAACAGTCAACAAATACTTTTTCCACCAGTAGCATTCACGCTTACAAAATCCTATTATCCTCTAAGGAAATTGGGAAGTTACGCAGCTACTCTCTTCTAGCAACACTTGACTCAACTACTGGGACAACATCATCATACTGTTTCAGAAGACAAATGGCACACCTAAAGAAACATCTTTTGTTGATGGGCAACATCCACTGAACCAAAATAATGTAAAATTGTATCTAGCAATATGTTGTGGTTTAATGTGAGAGGCAGCTAAACACCACACAGCCATTTGCTCACACCTGCCTCCCCAGTGGGAGGGGTGGAGGGAATCAGAAAAAAAAACCAAAAAGGTTAAAAAAAAAAAAGTAAAGTTTGTGGGTTGAGATAAAAACAGTTTAATAGGACAGAAAAGGAAGGGAAAATAAAATAATAATAATAATAAAAAAAGAATATACAAAATAAGTGATGCACAATGCAATTGCTCACCGCCTGCTGCTGAGGCCCAGCGATTCTCATAGAATGCTTTGGGTTGGAAGGGACCTCCCCCCGCCCTGGCCAAGTCCCCCCAGTTTATATACTGAGCATGACGTCATATGGTATGGAATAGCCCTTTGGTCAGTTTGGTTCAACTATTCTGGCTGTGCCCCCTCCCAGCTTCTTGTGCACCTGGCAGAGCAGGGGAAGCTGAAAAGTCCTTGACTAGCATAAGCGGTACTCAGCAACAACAAAAACATCAGTGTGTTATCAACATTATTCTCACACTAAATCCAAAACACAGCATTATGCCCACTACTAGGAAGAAAATTAACTCTATCCCAGCTGAAACCAGGACACAATATAGTAGAGGAAATTTTATCCCATATGTGTTTCTTTTACAAGCAAAACTGTATTTGTTTTATAATACCCAAGCTTTACAGTCCTTCCTAAAATACAAGTCATGCAGAGGTCAATTCATTTTAAGCTCTTGCCCAGCAATAACCTTCTACTGATCAAATCTTGTATTCAGTTACACACTGTTTTGTCAATATGACTGGCAGAATTTTGAAGGGAACGCTGAGTTCTTCAGGTGTGAATCAGAGTAGGATTTGAAGACAGTGGGCTTAAATGTGTCCCTGAAACATAAATACGACCTTCAGATCCTTTGCTTCTTTTGACAGTACAGAGGCAGCATGGCTTTTGGAAGCTACGGTAAGTTTTCTTAATTTAAAAAAGCATCTTCTTCCTACCTGTAAACTGAAAAAAATTCATTTGGAATTGTTGAGATAGGATGAACATGGATGTTGTAATACCATTTTTGGTCAATTTTCAGAGTGGAGTCACGCACTCAATATATCTCCACGGCTCTGTATATAACACAATTCTGCAGCTGCATAAATTGCATTGTAATTTTCCTTATTTTTGAATTTTCTGTGTCATTTTTTTTGATCACTTGAATTCCAATGTATAAGTAAGTCTCTCATCCTCACAGTTGCAATGAAAATCTTCGTGATAAGAAAGGAATGTAAATCAAAATGTAGACAGCTTGATACAATAACTGCATGAAGTGTGAACTGTTCTGCTTGCCCATAAAATGCGTCAGCTCAGACACCCAAATGGAGTATTTTAAATGTCAACAATATTAACCATTTACTACTGACCAAGTACACCTCAGACTGATCTGCTTTGGAGCAACTGCTGGATACAACAACACACAGAAAAGTGATTCTGCTCAAGATTTGATGGGACACAGAATGAGGAGTTAAAAGAGATCCCCAGTTTTCAGTCAGTTTCTCTCTTTGCCCAAAAACTGATGAGTTAGTCTATGTCCGCACCATGATCCTGGCAACACAGTGTTGAGGTACCCAAAGCAAGTTTTAACGTGTCTAGTCTATTTACTAGCCTGTGAACATCACTGATGCTGTTGCAGACTCCTCAGCACAGGTGTACTTTCCCTTGCTTCCTGGAAACTGGAAATTTTAAGACTAAAATCTATGTCAGGGACAACAAAGAAAGCACTGGCTACCCCATACTTAAACGCAAAAGAATTTGTATTCCCATCTTCACAATGCAGATCTCTCCAATCTGAATCAGAGAAAAACAGGAAGGTGAAAAGTCTTAACGAAAGAAGTTTTTAAAAAATGCCATATAGTTCATCTCACCTGATATAACCTCTGAAAATGAGGGTTTGGGATTTTGCTGGGCTTAAACAGGTCCTCAAAAGTTTCTCCATCATCATTTTCATAAACCAAATTCATAGAATCAATCAAAGAGTCAACAGCAGATAACTGATCCGCTAAGGCAGCAATTACATACAAAGAAAAATTAAATACACTTGCAGATGGATGCATTTCTTGAAACAATTTATAAATGAAGATTCACTTCACAATGTGAGATTTTGACCAAGTTGTTACATGCCACAGAATACACTGCAGATATAGACGTCCCAATAAAGAATATGGATAAAGGACACAGTAATAAAAGCCCTGCTTTATTTAAGGACTACAATGTAAAGTCATAAAGCCTTTTTTTTTTCCCCCTCAAGACCTCAATTATTGTTGCTTTTCTGCTTCCACTTTTCTTCTTTTTCAAGATGCTTTTATTTGCAACAGAAGGTTTATAGGCTACTTAGAATAGAAGGAGAACAGCTGGTTTGCAAAACTAAATCGCGTAACATAAATTTTAAAAGTTATAATTGCAAATTAACACAGTTCACAATAATCAACTATTGCTTTGGTAAGACAGGTTTTAGATTTGTTCTCAAACTGCTGGTTACAGGCAAGAAAATAGAAACTGTTGCAGAAACAACCCAGCATGGTTTATATATCCTGATGTGCAGATGCCCATTCAATGGATCTTATAACAAATTAAAGAAGTGGGAGTGGATTTTAAACTACATCCATTTATGCTCATTGCTGTGCAAAACACTGAGAACAGTGAACCAAGCTTGGTATAGCTGCATGTTCTATGGCTCTCCAAAGACTCCCTCTGTCTGAATCTGGACACTAGTAAGCACGTGCTTTAAAAAACAACACACCACAGAAAAACACAGTCTTTGCCTTTATGCATTATATTAAGAGGCCATACTGCAACTGGCTACAGGACCAGCTTTGTACAAACAGAGCTGATGCCTCTATTCTAGGTCTAGTTAGCTGATCACATATTGAAGCTCCCACAAGGTTGGCCATTTAGTCTCACAAATTACTTCAAAAATCAAAGGATACGGAGGACTAAATCTCAGATGTCTATCACAGAGATCCTGTGAGACTAATAATCCCATAACCCAAACCAGAAGTCATTTAACAGGACAGTTTTAAAAGACTGCCTACAAACCTCAAGTCTGCTCAGCCTGCAACTAAGCTGGCAAAGTTTTGATACAGGCTTTCCACTTCAAGATGATATCCCCATAATGTATTCCCAAAGGGCTAGGTTTTTTTTTCCTAAGCTAAAATAATGACAAGGCTTATGTTTTCATTGGAAAGCCAAATATTCTAGCTTTTTCAGAGTGTCTTAAAAGAAGAACAAGTAGGTTACTTTGTCCAGTTGCCCAGTGAAGGACTATCTTACCTGTAGGAATGCATTTTTTGTTGCTTTTCAAGGATGAAAATACGTACTGTCTTAAGTCTTCCATGTAGGGTAGTTGCACATAGATGAGACACTGAGCAAGACAAAAGAAGAAAGAAACAACTGAGCCTGAAGTAAAAAAATCTGAAGTATCCCAAAGTGCCCTATCAGGGCAATATAAACATAAAACCCAAAGATCTAATACCTGTGTGTATCAAAATACTTAAATATTTACAGAGCAACACAGTTTTAAGCAGAATAAAACACAGCATTATTTTATAATATAGTGATGACTACACTCCTCATTTTTCTACTGGTGGAGTAAAGACCTCCCAGGTCATCTGATCGCTTTTTCTTGTGCAGAGTTCCAACGAGCCAAGCTTTAAATACCCCATACATTGGTGCTTTGGAAGGTTTTATCATAACTTACTGCGTTTCAAAGTCAAAAGTTGGCTTTGTTTTTTAACATTCTCAGCCTAATTTTTTCTTTATTCAAATACCTCCTCCAGTTCATACCACCCTAAATAATTCCTGTCCATCCTTTATGTTTATACCCTTCAAAAGTCTGAAGATTGTTATATCCACCCCCACCTTTGTCATTGCTTAGCCATGCTATACATATTTAGCTCTTTTAATAGTCTCTTGTAAGTAAGATCAGTGGAAACATATGCCGCAAAAATTCTGACATACTGTGTTGCTTTGGACGAGCAGAATGGCCTCAAGTTGTGTCAGGGGAGGTTTAGATTGGATATTAGGCAAAATACCTTTACTGAAAGAGTGGTCAAGCATTAGAACAGGCTGCCCAGAGAGGTGGTGGAGTCACCGTCCCTGGAAGTGTTCAAAAAACATGGAGGTGTGGCACTTCGGGACATGTACTAAAGTTGGCACGGTGGTGTTGAATTGACGGTTGGACTGATGATCTTAGAGGTCTTTTCCAACCTTAATGATTCTATTCTATTCTGGGTCTCTCAGAATTAAAAAAAAAAAATATATATTTCAAATACGATTCTGCTGTGTACAGAACTTAATTCCCCTCCCCAAGAAACAGACTTCATTTTTCTCTCCTGTTTTTTAAAATAACCTTTTCAAGTAAATAAATACACTACTGTCTTCCTAACTCTCCATATGAGTCTAAACAGCTTTAAATGCTGTGAGCTCCTCCCCTCAGTTCCAGTTGACTTGGAAACCTAATGACAACAGCGTAGTTGGACATGCTTGAAATGCCACGCCAACTATCAAATTCAAATTTTCCACTACCAAGCAAACTAGACATAAATCCACCATTTAAGACAATGAAAGTATCTAGTGCAACTTTGGATTGTACGCAGAGAGGTAGGTAGTAACAAAGCAGGAAAGCAGTGGTAACTTACTGCATAAGTATGTGATTACACTGTTTTTAGATAACAAAAACATTGAGATTTCCAGGACAACAAAATGAATTTATTACTATGTTATTGAAATAAAAATCAGTTTTATTTAAATCTGTGATATAGAGGATACTAATAGAAACACACAGTATTATTTTTCCATGTATTTTTTCAATGGAATTTTCTTAATACTATTTATTACCTCCTTGTCCTAAGACTTGGTACTGTTTCCTAAAATTACTCTGAAAAATCACATTGGTTATTTCTGGTACTATATAACACTGCAAATTCGTATGGTTCAAATATGATCATTTATTAATTGGTATTTGTAAAGTATCAATATGGAAGCTCTCTACAGAAAGGAAAGGGTGAAAAATTACCTCGTATGCATCCTTAATATATGGAAAAGCTACCCCAATTTGCGGATTGCATCTTCTATCGTAAGCATAACGCACTATAGCTACCATTTTCAGCTCATCCAATGCATGAACAAGGGCAGAAAAAGCAACTGCTGCATTCTGTGTGTGCGGGGGGGGAAAAAAAAAAGTCGAGTCACACAAGTTCTCATTAGTCTGCTGAAATACATACTTCACAGTGAATTCAACAGCATTGCTTTAGTCAAGACTAGCTCCCATTTCAGCTATAACTTCAACACAAGCATTTTTCATGTTCAAAAAATGAAGACGCAAAAAGGTCAAATCTCATTGTGAGAGTGGATCCATTCAAAGCTGAGCAAACTTTAGATCCAGCACATTCCACCTTTTCTACTAGGTGTGAAGAGCTCTCAGAAGTATTACAAGAGAGAGAAAGGGAGAGAAGTCAGACCCTTAAAGGAACACATCAGAGCACTACAGTGAGGTTTTTACCTTTAATATTTAAAATAATTTGGAGGCCTGTTCTAAATAACACAGTGAGAAGGCATACTGTTGCTCTGCATGAGACTGGACTTAAGCACCAATTCCAGGCTCCCCATGGCCTTGCACAAACATAATTTACCAGTTTCTCAGTTTTCATAAGATATGGTATTCACTTGGGGTCTAATCCAACTACTTCTCATCCTAATGGGTAATGGAACAAGACTTCTGCAAGCTGCATTAAGAATATTTGTTTCATTAACACGGAAAGAAGGGACAATTTCAAGCGCCGCTACTATTCTTTTCTGTTCCATGGCAAAACACCTTTAGCATTAAACTTCAGTTCACCTTACCTCATCATCTTTCGCTGCAAAGACCTTCAGAACCTGGCTGCCCATATAGTAATGCCTCTGGATCTACAGATTCAAATGGTCAAGAGTTAGCCTGATCTAAAACAAATGTCACTAATGTAACTGGACCAATTAAATTATGAAACAACTAACGCATTACTTAAGTGAGAAGCCACAAAACTTAATTACTGTGCATAGAAGTTAAAGCCCTGTATATGTTTCATATCTCCATTTATCCCTCAATATGGATATTCAGTCATATTTAGCAGAACATTCTCATACCTTCCTATTGATGGGCAGGAATTAAAAAGCTATGATACTTGCAGCTGTTACCAGTCTGAATAATACTGCAGTAATTCAAAAGTCAGTGTGGAAAACCACAGTAGCTAAAAAAAGACCTAAACCTAACTGACACCACAGCTATGCTATTAAATTTTCCTAGCAAAGTCATGTCAAAAAAAGAGCTGAAAAAAGTCACATCCCTAATTAATAAAGCTACTTCAACATCAACCTGGAGTATATACACCTGTGCTGGCAAAGAAGCACTTCTCTTAGCAGAGTTTATGCTGTCCACGAACATGGCTGACACCCCCTGCCCCCAACCCCCCCCAAAAAAACCCAAAACCCAACCAACAGTTTCATTAAGGGGCATTGCTGGAATAGCTGGAGCTACAGAGGCTGTGAGACATACCCAGAGAAATACTGCAATAATGGAAAACTTGTCACTGCACACTACTATGAACACTGGTTAAAATGACCTTTCTTTGTTAAAGAAAAAACTCTTCAAATTACACTGTATCCAAACTAACCCGGAGTTTCCTTATTTAGCAAATTACTATAATGCTGTTGAAGTCAGTGACAACTTGCACCAGAGCAGATCTGTTTAATGTATGACAGCATGATTCTTCAACTCAAATTACTCTACCAGCAATTATTCTTTGCTGTTCTGTCTTTAAAAACTCAGGAAATTTTATGTTCAGTATAGGACAAATATCTACACATGTGTATCACTATACCTTTTTTGTTTAAAAAAAAAAGTCCCTTTGTAATATTTTCAAGCATTATTTCTTGATTTGCATGGCATTGCTTATAAATTAAAAATCAAAGTTTAAGCAGCCTCTGATCTTCTTTCCTGAGGGATGTGAATAACTTAGAAAAATAATATGAGGCGGTTCTATTCCTTCTTTAATTATGTATCTGGAGCTGTTCCAGTTTCTCTAGTTAATAAAAAATTATTTTTTCTCCAGAGTTTTTAAAAGAAACAATTTAATGTAAAACATACATTTGAATAGTGTCAGTATTATGATTCCAAACAATAAAATTCAGGAGCCAAAAAGATAAGGAAGGCATGGGTCTTGAAAATTCCAGCTGTAGTTGAAAACTTCCTGATATCATTATCTATACAGTGTAATTTTAATCCTGCACTCACACCTGAATAATTTTATTCCACTGAGGTCTGTGCAACTACTGTTGGGCATAACAACTCACACTCCTAGTTACAGGACCAGAGCACACTTTATTTCAGATGTAACTCCTATTCATTATGAAATCCACAGACAAGAGAAGCACATAATAAAAATTATCAAAAGCAATAAATATTTTGTGCATTGAAAAAAATATAGAACCAATTTGTTAATTCTTTGAGGCAAATTTATGTGAATCAAAATTATTCCTACAAGTAATTATATTCCTACAATTAATTATTAACTATGTATTTGAAGGTATTACCACACCACCAGTGGTGGCAAAAAAAATCCATGTGAAATAACACCTCACCTACAGGAGCATGATGCTTCTCATCTGTTTTCCTCTTTAGTTTCTGTTTTCAATAAAAGTTAGACTTCAAGTCGAAATGGGAGGCCAGCCTCCAGCATAAGAAAACGCTGCACGTGGTGAAATACATCTTACAGAATTAAATGAAGACAGTAAGACTCAGCTATAGGCTAATAACACGTGAAAAGATGCAAGAAATTGTCTCATTGAAACACTGGGTTCAGACACAACATTTCACTTGTTAGACCCAGCTTCTGGTACAGGATTTAGCAGTCCGTAACATCTCTCTGCCCTGGCCAATTTAGGGCATAGAAGCTCAAGCATGATATGTTTCCTTGATCAATCACTTTCAGTACACAAACTTCCGTGTTGCTTAACAACTTGAAGTTCTGAATGTCCTCAAGGAGCAACCAGGTTACAGTTCCCATTTAGGCTGGCTTCTCATTTCAATAAATCAACATAACTTCCTGGCTCCTCAGTTAATAATACGCTTTGGACCACTGCACTGCAGTAGCCTAAGGGCATATCTAGCAACGTGCAGGGGTCTCTGTGCCACCTGTATTGTAAAGTAAAAATATGTTCAGTTACATCCATTTGGGACTAAGCTCCCACAGATACTTCCTATTTCATTAGCATCTTTCCTTCCTGGTATAGGTAACGATTCCTCAGCCTTTGTCAAGGGTTCTATTTTGTTCAAGCAGTGAGACTTTTCAAAGAGCAGGAGAGCTGGAAGCTTTCAGAACAGAAGGCGCAGAGCTGCCCTACGATTTCCTTTCAGTTCTGAGTGATGAATGGGACTGGGTGCAGTGAACTCCAAAAGTAAAGTTTCAGACACCCTGTGCAATAACCTGGAGAAGAAAGAGTGGGAGCAGCTTAACGTTTCTAGCAATTACTGGCACTCACATCTATGTACTTTCTCTTCAAGTGTCCTGCTTCAAGAATGGTTTGTTAAGCCTTTGCCTAAAGCTTTCCTAATGCTTAAGTCCTAGATTTTCTGTAGGAAATCACCTTGTGCTGGATAACTTTTAAGGTACTTGCTCAATGTAAGTTTCCTACAAATTCCAGGTAAAAATAATGGCAAAGTTAACACCACAAGTACAGGTAAGTGCATATAAACACCAAGCATTTCATTGAAATATGAAGAGTTCTTGAATGACGTGATCTTCATCCAAGTTCTATGAAGTCTTCGCTACATTTAGTTCTTTTTATAGTAGAAACAAGAAGCAAGTCACAGTTCACAAACTAATCCTTATGAGAATGAATGCAGTTAGTTCTCAGGCTTTCTTTAGCATTTCCTTAATGTTGAGAGAGACACTTCTTCTGTTAAAAGAACACACTCGTGGCTGGACAAAGCCCAAAAAGGCTTCTGCATGACCTGAACAGAAGAGAGATGATCTTCTGTTGCAGATCTGGCATCAGCATTTAAGTTCATGAGATAAAATGAGACTACAATACCACTGTCCCTACCTTGCAGAGATCTGCATTTCAGTGGCTCTTGCTTCATTTGAGGGCCCAACGGCCACGTTTATGAGCTTCTCTCCTTTACAAGACTACATACTGTTTACATGTACTAGAATCAGCAAATAAGTCACCCCTGTATACCTGACTGCAGATTCAGCCCCATTCCTGATACCAGAACCCAATACAACACCACAACTTTAGTGACTTCAAACTGAAATCAATTGTCTTGAACAACCCAGGAAGTTGAATGGGAAGAAGTTTAGTACTGTACCAGAGAGGATCTGCTGAATCCCAAAACAGAAAAACATTTTGCTTCTGTTTTGTATTTCATTTGCTCTTCATCTTCCTTGGAAAAAGGAACTATATCACTCCCATAGCGAAACCCTGGAGAACAAGAGAAGAGCATCTGGTAAGCATATGGGCCTACAATTCTAACACTGAAATTAGCTCCCTGAATATTTTAACAATGCGTGCATGCCCCACAGCTATACTCCACACACGCTCGTCAAATTACTTTCCCTGTTAACAAAAAAACCACACGCCCCATAGACACATTTTGTACTTCACGAACAGCAGTTGCACTCCTTGTATGTAGTTTTATGTAACGTTGCTACCCTTGTAGAGAGTAGGAAAGAAAATAAGGGAACTGAACATCTTTCCCAACAAAGTTATGCTCACAGAATAGATTTAAGCAAATAAGAACAGATTTCAGCAAATAGACTGCAATACTCCCTGCAAATGTAATACAAAAACCCGCAAACATACCGCAAATCATGGACAGGAAATGACAGTAGAATGGATTCAGAGAACAAAATGTGTTAACAGTGGAAGTGAGATACACCCTCACATGCAATGGAAAACCAAAACACTCTTGTACGCAAAAGTGGTCTTTCTGTACATTTCTGTGGTTTACTTCTGTGCCTTACATTACAGAGATATCTCCACAAAATAGGAAGCTGTTAGTTTCTCAGAGGTATCATCTGTTCCAACTGCTTATTCCCCCACCTCAAGCTACAATATCCTCCCTGTAACATCATGATTTTACTGTCACAGACTAAGGATTATATCCTTGGGTGTGAAGAAAGCAGAAGGAACAGAGGTAAATCCCTGGATGAAAAACCTCTATGTAGATCCATTTTCCTAGAAACTGAAAAGCAATCACACAGGCAGAATGAAAGAAATTTCAGTATGGGTGCTTCAAATGCAAAATATAATCTAATTATGACATTTCTCAAAATGTCCACAAAAGTCCATGAGGCATCAGCAGTTCTTTAAGAAATACCACACCATTGACAGAGAAATTTTTGGACTCTTTTGTTTACATTGAACTGTTCATCACTTCTTTTTACTAGTATCTCGCAACTTAGGCAGTCAGAACATCAGCAGAGAATGGTCACAAATGCTTCAAAATACATTCACTATAAAAAGTGGATTTTTTTTTTATTTTACTAAAAGTTTTGAAATTATAAAACATAAACAGACTACTAGCTTTTAACTATTATTTCTGCTTAAAGAAACAAAGAAAATCACACTGTCGTTGGGACATTTTTATCTGCTACTGCTACAAAACACCTGTGATTACTACAATTGAAAGAGGTTAAATTAAAAAAAAAAATACAGTATTTATCTTCATTTTTCAATTTATTTTATTCATTTGACAGCACTTTCTATACTGTTATCTGAATAGTTCTGCCATTTATAGTTAATACACTTGCCCTACTTGTGTGGGATTGAAACAGCAAAGGAAAGAAAAAATTAGTAGTGAAATCGCAAAAAGTTAAACATATTTGCTTAACTCCATTTTTAAAAAGTAGACTATTTCATACAGTTTCTGAGGCCTTTAGTCCTCTAAAGAATTTAATCCACTCAGAAAGAAGTGGAAGGTTATAAAGAAGTATTCTGCATACCACTACTCAGATTGAACCTGTTATAGAATTTAAACAGCAAAGCTAATAGACTCTTGAACGCTAAACCTTCCTTTAATGGTTTCATCTTCGCAACTGCAGAATATCTAAAGCAGTTGCTTACCTAGAAAAAAGCAGTGTTATGAAAGTATTCATGTTATCAGTACAACTGAAGATTTGAAAACAGAATAAAGGTAGCAGCACTACTCACTACAGAACTGAGGTACGGTCCTCCATAGAACACAGTTTAGGAAGCTGTAGTGCCTTCCAAGTTCCACCTGGTGGTATTATCATTATTCCTATTACTGGCAAAAGTAAGAATTTGTAATATGTGAAGACAAAGAGTCTCACGTAACAGTCTCTGTGTTCCATCAGCTCACAGAGCTTACATTCTAAGATCACAGCTAGGCTTCAAAGTATGAAACTAAAAGGCACTTAGGTGATTTAAGAGTACAAGCCATTATCTTCGGTTTGTCTTCAGCATGTACATAAAGAATACCTTGAATAGTATCATCTCTCTGAACCTCTGTCTCGTCATCATCATTCAAACAGTAAACAGTTTCTTTTTGCACATCATCTTTTCTGAGGGTTTTAGCATCCACAACTGTCCAAACTTTTTTCACCTTCTCTTCTGTGACCTTTATATCAGAATTCAAAGAAAAGGAACATTTAGCATTTCAACAGCAACCAGAGTGCTTACCAGAACATGCAAAAAATTCTTAGACCGAGTGCTGCATTATTTTGCCAATAAGGGACTAATAATGACAGCCCCAAATATGCATCTCTGACTGCTACCACAGTGCTTTCAGCACACTGTTTCAACTGTATGAGACCTAACACCTGAACTAAATTATATTGACTGCGTACTTGTCTTGGTTATTCATTGAAGCCATGGGCTAAGTCATTTGTAGAAGTCTTTTAGTGACAGGATAACATGTTAACTTGCTTGATATGGATTTTATTTCCTCCACCCACATAAACACTTTTGACAAAGCATTAAGATATATGTTAAAGATACAAGAAGATTCAATGTTCATTCAGCTTGTTTACTCAAGTATGGCATCAGGCTTACTACACTACAGGATGAAAATACCCTATGTTACTGCAACTTCCCCAAAAGGCAGAAAAAGATCCCAGCTGCATTACAGGACGGGGAAGGGAAAGAAGGAATAAATATCTGCAATGAGTGAATGCTTCCCAACTACAGGGAAATAAAAATGCTTTCTTTTCTCTCTAGTTCAGTGAAATTCATGGTATACTTAGTGAATGAGAAGAAAAATGGAGAACTGGGCAGAAAATAGAAAAGACAGAATAGATTATGTCAGTAGATATCACAAGTCTATTCCTAGTTCTGATCCAACTGCTGTATGACCTCAGGCTAGTCACTCAGTTCGTGTTGTTTACTCTCCAAAGCTTCATTTATTTTGTGTAAACACCTCTGGAAGGGGACTCTTACTGCACATTTGTACAGATCTGGCACAATATCCTAATAAAAAAAATATGAATAAGTATAAATAGAAAGCTGGCAGCAGAGATCTCTTTCAAGCCTAGTATGCCTATGTCCTGGTTTCGGCTGGGATAGAGGTAATTTTCTTCCTAGTAGCAGGCATAGTGCTGTGGTTTGGACTTAGGATGGGAAGAATGTTGATAACACACTGGTGGTTTAGTTGTTGCTAA